CAAAGACTGGAGCCTAAATTAAAACATGAAAAGAAGAGGTGGGTAGATAGAGGTTCTTGGTAGCTGTTCATCTGCTAAGTGGGACAAGTTTTTAAAATCTTTATTAAAATTACTGGTACATTTTGAAGCAAGGAAAGCTTTTGTGTCTTTTGTCCTTTCTTTTAATTTAGACTTTTTGTCTTTGCCTGCACAACTACTTTTCTCTAACTTGAGAGCTACTTTAGCCTATGCCATTCATCACAAGAACATCTCCAAGGGACTTGGAAATGTTTCAAGTTTTAACAATCAGAGACTTAACCTTTTTTTTCTTGTGTAAGTTACCTGCCTAGGCACGCTAGGAAGACAAACACTGAATAAGAGAAGTTGAATAATAATAGTAATGAGGAATTTTGCATGAGAAATAAAAACCTGGTAAAATCAGGTCTTTTGTTGTAGATTGCTGAGATAGTTTACCAGTGTAAGAAAGTGAATGTTGACATTTGTCAGGCTATCCTCCACAAATTAGAATTACTGTACAGGGGAAGTGCAGCCTTGGCAGCCATAACTACTCCTGTAACATTTGCTATTTTGTTGTGTTTTTTCCTCTTTGAAATACAAGGGGATATTTGGGGGTACATTGGTAGTACTTAAAGCCTCTATTTTCTTAATTGAACGTTTTGTTCTATTATTATTATAATTCCTTTTATCTTGACCTAATCACATTTTCTGGCTTGATTTAAAAGATAAATCAAGGGTAAAAAAAAAAAAAAGCAGCTTTGTTGTGCGTTTTTTTTTTTCTTTTAAATTAATTTGTTGCTTTAGAATAATGTAAGGTTGACAGCCTAGGAAACTAAAGCATCACTGCATATTTTCTCAGCCTGTTTTCTATGCTTTATCCCTGACTTGGAAATGCTACCTCTGCAGGTGAGAGGATAGTTCATTCTCCGTAGGTTGTTCGGTCCTTGTCCTTTTTGCTAGGACTACCATAAAGATTGCTAATTATAGTAATAGGTTTGTGATGTGGGTACTTTTCCTCTGAAAACTGGTCAAATTCATTTGAGACAGGCCATAAAGCAGCCATTAGTGGGTACCAAGTTTCAACCACCATCAGTTTGACCTAAGAGTTAGCTAAACAGTGCAGTAGTGTTTTTCCCTTGCAGCCTATTTCATTTTTTAATGTTCTTGTTGTAGCCAAAAATAGCTCCCAAACTGGTTTATGTTTCCAGTGTGTTTCAGATCTTTTTTTTTCAACTATGCCTTTTTTGACTGCAAGAAACAAAACCTTCATGAGTTAAATAAGCCAGTACAAGATGTCGTCGAGTGGACTTTACACAGCCTTTTGTAGCCAAAAATAGCTCCCAAACTGGCTTATGTTTCCAGTGTGTTTCAGACCTTTTTTTTTTTTTCTGAAACTATGCCTTTTTTAACTGCAAGAAACAAAACCTTTGTTGTAGCCAAAAATAGCTCCCAAACTGGTTTATGTTTCCAGTGTGTTTCAGATCTTTTTTTTTCAACTATGCCTTTTTTGACTGCAAGAAACAAAACCTTCATGAGTTAAATAAGCCAGTACAAGATGTCGTGGAGTGGACTTTACACAGCCTTAATTATGTTGTGGGTTTTTTTTTTCTTTGTCTTCACAAAAAAAAAGCCATTGACAGTGTGGCTTGGAGAGAAACAGAGCATAAAGCACATTTTTCAAATTTACAAAATAGTTTCAGCAGTTAGCTAGCATCTTTCCTCAAAAGAAACACAGATAAACATTATAACTTTAAAAATTCTTATTTTGCTGGAAGAAAAGTGTCTTCAGAAAAGAAGTGGTTTATGTCCACTAATTTGGCTTCACTAGAAAGGAATCAAGAGGAAAATATTAAGACCTGCACATTTCCATGTTGCTACTCAACATGGTACTGGTGATTGAAAGTCCTTACACTTACATCTATTTTTCTTAAAGGAAACTTCTTATAGACTGAGACTTTCAGATTTCTGTACTTAACACTTTTCTGGATTTCCTAGCAGTGCTTTTCCTTAAATAGAAATGGAAACAGCCTTTGGTATTTCTTTCAGGTTTGTCAACTATGTCCAAGAGTCATGTCCTCACTAATCTCTGAAAAAATTAATTGATCCTCACCCCCTTACTAAATACAGCTACAAGCATTTATATATCTATATACACAGCTTTACCTTTCTCAGAGTTGTTTTGCAGTATCAGTGGGGGTTTTTTTCCCTGTACTTCACACTTAGGAACTGTTTTTGGATTACATGAACTTGTATGGCTAGTTGATGGAATTTATATACATCCTGACTCTGATTCACTACTTGGATTAGCACTAGAACTTAAAATAGCTGATTCTGACACCAGTGTTAATGATGTAATAATGCTGACTCTGAGCAGAATTGTTTCATATTCCATGATTTGTGGAAGCACGTCTGCTTTACAGGTGCAGATGTTTGATTCCAGCTCATGCAGACTTGTGGAAACATTAAAAGGATAGCAGTGTGGGTATGGTAGCCCAGAGTTAGCTACCAAAACAGTTTTGGAGGTTACAGCCTGTTTTGAGCTTCCTGTAACCTAGCTGTGCTTCCTTTGCTAGTCATACTTGCACTCGGGTAAGGATGGAATGGATAAATATATACAGCTTGTAGTTGTCTCTCTGCCACCAGTGTGCATACATCCTGAGTGAGATCAGAACGAGTCCTGTTGGTATTTATTTCATGGAGCCTACCTGCAGTTCACCTGGTTATTTCCCCGTGGGAATAAAGATTTTCCTGTACCTTTTAAAAATTTATGGCAAAGCTGATTTTTAAAATTTGTATGATAATTATGTAGACTTATCACTGGCTTACGCATAGTTATCGTGTCTTTGGGAATGCAACTGTGCTGAAGCTAGAGGCAAAGAGCAGCCCTGGTGCTAGATCAGAAAAATGGAGGAATACAGGCTTATGGCTGGACGTGAGGCCTTAGCTCACTCCTCCTGACAGAGCACATGCCAGTCACATTGCACCACTGCTCATGCTCCTGGCAACTCACCAATTCCATGTTTTCCTCAGCGTTTTGGTTTCTGAGCTTTTACCTACCCACACCATCTCCTTTGTGCCTACACTGGGTGTGCAGAGAAAATGCTGTCTTTTGGATGCTCAGCATGAACCTGACAGTAACATGAGAGAGGTGTGGTTGTTTTTTTCCAGGAGGAGGCACCTGTGCTGCCTTCCAAACTGTATGTGTAAAGTATAGTAAATATATGGGTTAAAAAATCATAATTCAAATCCCTATAGTGGTACTGATCAGATCTCTGTTTCTGTTGCAATGAGAACCTAAGGTGGCCTTTTAAGGCTCACAGTTCATCCACCAATTTCCAGTTCTGCTTCAGGATTCTTAAAGTATTAGAGTGCGTGCTTTAAACCCACAAAACTTACCTTTACCTAATTTTCACCATTCTAACCTAAGTTTCCACGGAAACAGGGTTGAAAAAGCTGCTGGTAGGCAGCAGGCAGCCAGCAGCTGAGAGTGAGAACTCTCCTTTGTCACTTTCCACTACTGGATGCCTGCTGCGTGCCAGTGTGCAAAGCTACCTCGGCTTCTAAAATCTGGATTACTTTCAATTTGAAGGGGAAAAAAAATTAAATTAATCTACTCTTTTCTCTGTTTGGATTGTCACAGTAAATTCCAGGAGGGCAAACGGGCTAATGAGTCCATATCGGTTCAGTTATACTGAGCCCCACATAATCAAAGCCTTCCCAACCAACTGGGCCTCTCCTTTCATCATTTCCATGTTTTAAAAGCATTCTCTCTCAAATTTTGCATCTCTGCACAGGTACACACATATTGTGCTATCTTAATTCTTTCTGGCTCTGTATCTACGTGTGTATGTATTTACAAGCCTTTTTTGCATATAGTGTTGTTGCTGTGTAACATTTCCCTTTTTTCCTGTATACTTATGGAACATTTCTGAATGAACACGTTATAACTGATCCTCAGTTAAATATTAGGAGTAGAATGTGAATGGAGATGGCTTTTAACCAGAAGTAGATTATAGCTGCGGGAAGACTAAAGGGTCTATTTGGTCAAGACTCATACAAAACTGAGATAAGCATGCACAACCTGACAAGATCAGATTAGACCCTTCCCCCACAAGTGCTTTTCCCATAAATATTTATCTACTTTCTATTATAAATAACCAGGAAATGAAAAAGAAAGATAGATTCTTTTTTAAGCAATAGCCTAGAAATAGAAATGCAGCTTCAAATCTTCAGGGTAATGATATTTTAAGTATGCAGTAAATTCCAATACTAGTTCCTGTTTTTTAAATGGGAGCAAAGTATTGTAATTCTTCATGGCAGCTTCATAAATAAGCAGCATTTATAATCAAAGAAGAACTTTGTGTAAATGTGCTTTTTTGCCTAGTATTGAGTACCTTAGAAGTAAATAGCTTACCACCTATGAGGGAATAGGTGTTGACAGAGTCAGCACTACTGTATTTTGAAGCTTGCCTGAGGCAACATAGCTGGCATTGAAGTTAAGCTTAGCATTTTATCACCCTGTCCCTCCTCCCTGGAGCTCAAGGGAGTGCTCACTTCATCAATGAGGAACACAACTGAATTCCCACCAGATGTAATGGAGATCCATGAATTCACATCTGTTCTGCAAATTCCTGTTTCCTTCAGACTGTCGATACTTTGACTTCACTTCCTTGTGCAGTGGTGTTACTGAGTAAAAATCTGAAGCTGTACATGTGCCACTAATTCAAAAATGCATGTTTGCTGGTGGTCTGCTCACCAGAGCATCAGAACCTGTGTGGATACCATTTCTGTTACAATAAAAAATAACTCTTCAGCTTCGGGACTTGAAACCTTAAAAAATGCACAGATTAATATTTCTACATTCATCTTTGAAGGTATCGAGTGTGTACTTTTTAAAACACTTCTGTGTCACATAAGAATAATATTAATACTTCAAAAATCTCAAGATGAAAAATGTAAGTCCTTTTTTTCTTCCTTTAAAAAAAATCTTTTTTTTCCTCTAGCATTTTACGATGGGATAATGAGACAGATGTCTCTCAACTGGAAGGACATTTTGACATTGTTATGTGTGCTGACTGGTAAGTACATAAAAATCATAAAACTCATGTTAGAAAAATAGCTTTGCTGCAGTAATTGTACTGTGCTGCTTGCTGATGGCTAAGCAAAGTCAACAAATGAAGCACAAAGCCACCTTAACCTCAACAAATTAATATTCATCTCCATGTGACAGTTATAAGGTAGTCTTCTATCACACAGTAACTTCTACCACATTATTTCCCAAAGATTGATTTTGAGAAGCATTTCCATTTTCTGGAATTGCCTCTGTTTCATGCTTGACGTATCAGTAAATGGACGACTTAGGCAAATTGCAAATAATTATGGCTCAGTGAGGAACAGTCTGGAGAAAAGGGAGTTTATCAACACAAACAGCTCAATTAGCTTACTTCTTAGGAAAGATCTGACTATTGATATAAGGGGATATATTTTTTGCTCCCTGGAAAATCTTTCTGAGGAAAAAAAAAAATGTTTTCAGGACCCTTTTCTAAATCAATTTGACAGCAATATTTGTAGACATAGGCTTTATATTATTTACGCAGGCACATGTTAATGCTAAGAGAATTCTTAGTAAAACAATAAGAGTACAGCACTTCATTTAGGAGAAGATAGATACACGTTAAAATGTGTTATATTGTTTAATAATTTATGCAAATTGATGATTGACACAACGCTTTTCTGATACTGGATTTGCAGAACTGTGCTGTATTTGCTGCATGCTAACTTTTAAAATGGTATGTTATTAATTATTTGTGTTATAGAAACGGAGAAAACGTAAAAAGAGATCTGCACATTTTTGCTTAGGAGAGTAGGTATTTTTCAATTTATTTGTCTTTCATACGTGTTTGCTCTTGACCCTTTAAATATCCAAAACAGAAAATGATGCTTGTTTTGTTGCACCTAACTGTTGTGTGAGAGACCAAATTCTGAAAGCAGGGATTTCCTAGGACAGTTCAGTTCATCAGATTTCTGTATCTTGCTAAGAAATAGTTAAAGGAAAAAGGCAAAGAGAGGTACAAAGCTGCCTATTGTCTTTTTAAACAATATTCTTTTTAAGTGGCTTCTGATAAAATATTCTCTAAAATAATTTTGGTTTTTTTTTTTCCCTTTGATATTTTACTATTTAAGCAAATTTTTCTTATTTCAAAAAAGTTGCCGGATTTGTATAGCAATGAAGAAAGTGTGTTTAGTCATCTTTTTTCCTTTGTCTAATACCCATTTGTTGACAGGATGCAACAGTGCTTCATTTCTTTTAGCATTTAATTTCAGAAAAGTTCTTTGTTCCCAAAAAGGACAGAGAAGGGTTTCTAACTAATCGCTGATAATGTGCCTCAGAGATGCATCATCTGATTAAAATAAGGAGCTAAACAACACCATATGATTTCAGCAAGTAATTTAGTAAATGCCTTCCTCACCAAATATTAGAATGGATACTCCAGGTTTCATTGCACAGATGAAGTTAATGCTGGACAGGATTAGATCAGATTAAGTATGAAAGTCAGATCAGAGTGCTGGCGGACATGAGCAGGAGGGCAGCAGTCTTCTCGGAGGCTTAGACAAGGCTCACATATGGATGTTCTCCAGATTATGTGGGTGAAGCAAGGTCTTGCCAAGAGATTTAGAGTTAAATTTGTTCCTCACACAAATATCAAAACAACCTGGCAGTGCCATCTCTTGTATTCTTGATACTCACACCATGTCATCCTATTTGTGCTGAGAGAATAGCAGAGTGGAGCAAGACTTAAGTTATTTTTTTCAGTAATATTCTTGCCTAATACTCCTCCCAGTCTGTTTGGAAACAGTGTAGTTTCTTTAGAAAACAAAGAATCAAACATGACAGGTAAAATACATAATGCATTTGCAATCCCTGCATTTTGTACATTTATTTTGAAGCACTTAAGGTGCAGGTAAGTGTATAAATATTTATAAATTTCTAAAAAATAGAAATCTGCAAGTTAGTTTAACGTACATGTTTTTATTCACAAATTGTCTCTATTTTCTTATTGCAAGCACCCATATATATAGTTTAATAAGCATAAAAATCCTATTGTTGTTTGTTTCTTTTTGAAATCATTCTTTTAGTTATGGACGCTAGGTTTTCTGGTACATGAAAAGGCTGTGGAAAAAAAATGTTCCATGCTTTGTCAAACTGAAATCTTTTCATTTTCATGTACTTTTTTTGTGAGATACAAAATCATCTTGAGAAGGAAGATGATTTGTTCGAAGGATTTTTGCTCTCTGAATTTTTTGGGCTGCCACTGAAGAGCAAAAAAAAAAACCCTAAACATCTATTCTTCTAGCTCCTCGGTTATAACCTGAAGTATGCAGTGATAAAAACAGATAGAATAGATTGCATTTAGTTTAACACCATCATATAGCTTGTTTTCAGTCAATAAAATCTGAGATTAGAACAGAGAACTAGAAAGCAAAATATCTGAGTTCAAATATTAGGTACATGGATAAATTTTTATTGAGGTATTTCCAGCAAGGGTGATATTGTCTGATTCTTTGAATAGCTAACCAGTGGTACTGCTTGATCCCATTTACATTAAAACAAGCTCTATTCATAAACATATTCCAAATCCACATGGAGGTTCAAGTAAAAATTTACGTGATTACAACAAGCAGCAATATGTTTATATTCATATATTTACAGTCAGACTTTCATAAACCTTGTGTGCAGGAGTGGAAAATAAGTTATTTCCCAGAACAGACAGTCTATTAGTTAACAGCTAAATTTAGTAGCTCAACTAGATTATAAAATAAATAAGAGGCAAACTGTGAAAGCTACTCATTATTTAACCATTCAGGATTTTAACAATAAAAATAGTTTCGTGGTTCAGCAGTTCCGAAATAACTTGTAAAATGTCAAATATGAGATAAAAATAAGGGAGAAAAAAAATCTTGCTGAGGCCACACCTGGAAGAAGGATACATTGGGGGAAAATAATGAAATAATGGAATTTTTAAAGCATATTCACCCACCTTATATTTTTGAGGGGAATTTTTTTAAGGCCGGGTGAGGGCTGCCAGAATTTTAGGCTTTAGTTTGACCTACACTTGTGTACGTGGAGTCATGCAAATGCTGGCATTATAAGAATATGAATACAGGAGGAAAAATCTGTATGGAGAGGCCAAAACCAAGAATCTTCCAAAGCTCTTGAGAGCTGCAGATTTTTGATTATTGTTTTTCCCATTATGTCTATGTCAGCCATGTACTTGAAGGTGAACAAAAAGTTAAATGGCTCTGTACATCATGCACTATACATTAATATTATGATGTCTGAAGTACACCTGTAAACTAAGCCCTTGTAGCTGTTGCAAAGTATGCAAAAGGCAAAATAAGTTCACCTTATATCCTATGAAATATATGTCCCTTGTTGCAAGGCACAACATAAAAGGTTATTAGCATGAAGCAAACTGAGAACCTACTTGTTTTTTCAATTTATTTCCTTGTGGCTTTGATACAGTTTTTCTGTAAACTTTCTTTTTGGTTTTAGTGGCAATTAAAAATTAAAAACCAAACAAAGAAGAGGAGAGAGGTGACAGGATTGTCTGCCTGATTCATTCAGTTTTCACAGGTTAAGAGCACTGACTAAACAAAGGCTAAATCATCAACTGTGCTCTTGCCTTTCTTGCCTCTTTACTGCTGTGATCTGAATCTTCCTTGCTGGCCTGAGGAAACCTTGCTATTCCTGTCCTGAGCTACTGCTTTCACAGCATCCTTACCACCAAAGTCACGACCAGCTAAACCAGATTTGAACTGAGGTGTGAGAACTGAGCACAGATGTTTTAAAACAATATATTATTTAATTTCACTGAGGTGTCGTGAGCTTTAAAGGGTTCTCTTAGGTATATATTCAGTATGCTGTGGTAATATTTAGTCATACAAATTCTACTGGTAAGAGATACAGCGTGACTAAATCTTCTTGCGTGGGCCAAATCCTGTGCTGACCTTGCCCTGACTTCTTCAGGATTTTCCTCATTCGAGGCATCCTCCAGCTCAGAGATAGGGATGTTCTGTGGAGTCACAGCATTGCATTAATACTGCTTCCAGCCTTCCCTTCTCCCTCTGGTCAGAGTATGTAGGTCCTGTTCCTAGGGACAGGCCCTTTGGAGACCAGGGACAACTTGGGAGCAGAGCCAAGGCAACTGTCCCAGGTTACCTGAGTTTCCTAAGCTGAAAGGGATAAAGGTCTACATCCCATACCACCAAAATATCAGCTGGCGTTAGACAGAAGAGGTATTATTAAAGTTTCTAATCTAGCAGGTCATGTAACTATTTGAGCTCTCAAATACTCAGTTTCTGGTGGACAAAGGCCTGTAATTCTCTCACTGTAAAGGAACAAGATTGATAGCAACAGTTGTGCCCTTATCCCATTGTAACAAAAGAGAGAATATTATGCACATCCATGAAGAAGTAATTTTAGATGCCCCAAAATTGTGTTTCCTCTATACCAGTTTCAAAAATGCAAGTGTTATAAGTGCATTTTTCATTTGCAATGTACTTCTGTTTACACAGGATCTCAGCAAGTTGTAAATGTATGCAAGCTTGAAGTGGTTTATGTTGAAGAAAATGAAGTTATTTTTAGAGATTCTTACACAACTGCTTGACCCTGTGGTACTTAATATTGTATTCTCCTTGGTAACTGTGGGGTGTCCTTGCCTAAATATCCACACATAGCCTGTGCCTGATGACTGGCATGTGGTTGCCAGACCACTTTTTTGCCTTCAATGTTTTCATGTATTACTTATATATTTATATTTAATATATTCTTTATATTATTTTAGAAATTTCAAAACTGATAAAAAAATAACCACATCTCTCCAGAAAGAGATGTTTAAAAATAAAGGAAAGAGGAGTGTAGAAAAAAAATTGGAAGGAATGGATAAAATACCATGTAGTGAAGAACTTGAGCTTGACACATGTTTTTATTACACGAAAGCATGAAAAACAGTGAAGAAGGAATCACATTATTTGTGTCTTCTTGGTAGAGTTTCTTATCTGAACCACCAATATAAACACAGCCCATGACAGTAAGGACTGAAAGGCATCAGTTGCTCTCTGATGGCTGTTCACTAACCACTGTAAATGCACTCTCATCCACAGTAACTACATGTCCACAAATATCTAGTCAAGAGTGATTGGCACCCTGGTTGCCACTATTAGTATAGACATTAAGATACTGAGGGGCATGAAGAATGAATTATCCCCTCAAATCATGAGGTAATCATGCCAAAATAGGTCTGAGCATGTTGGCAACATTGCATGGGAAAATTGCCTCTGCTGCTATCCTTGCGGGACCCGTGCTGGAGATGAAGGATTTCACTCTTGAGAGAGGACTTCTCTGTTATGTATTTGAACAGTGTTTGAGGGAGAGAAGAGGGAGGGACTTGTAGATCTTTATAGGGATAGGTAGACAGATACATAAATAGAAGAAATATACATAAGACATAATAATGAATTAATGGCACAATTGTGAAGGTAAAAGGAAAAAAAATAACCTTAACAGTAACACCTGAAATACAATAGAAAACACTTGTAAAAACTCCACACACACAGACTCCTTGTATTTAAAAAACAAACAAACAAACAAAAAAAACCCACCAACCAACCAACCAACCAAAAAACCCCACAACATTAACTTTGTATATTGATCCTGATTTCTGATATGGTAATATTTTAATAACTAGCATATGTGATCTGTGAATTTCAACTATTTAAGTATCTGTTTCATGCTGATAGTTCGACTTTGGTTTAGATTATATTTGGTTTTATGTATTTTTTAATATTTAAAAGTATCTGAACTGGGCAGAGATGTAGACCACAGCTTCTCTTTTACAGCATTGTGTAAACATATGTAATTAGCCTTGTACTTATCTGCATTAGTATCATTAGAATTGAAACCCCATTTTAATCTGGATTCTGTTCTCTTCTCAATGTCAGCCTGTTTCTGGACCAGTACAGAGCTAGCCTTGTTGATGCAATAAAGAGATTACTCCAACCCAGTGTAAGTATGTTTCTATTTTCTCCTGAACACTGGCTTCAGAATAATTAGTCTGTGCACAATGATTGAGAGAGTAATGGAATGGCAGGATTAATGTCATGTAATACTTTAATACTTATTATGTCCAACTTCAATTGAGTCTTCTAATCTATCAGATTCTTTCCTAATCATAAACTAGGAAACTTCTTATACTTGGCCTTCTGATAAGGAACACAGTGGGTAGTAAAATAAATGAAACCGCTTCAAAGATAGCATGAGATTATTTTTATCAAAGCGTTTCTCAAGTATTTTCCTTTGATAATAATGTCTTCATATTAAAGTAAAAGTATGATATTGAAAGTTTTTATGTTGGCTTCTGTCATTTGTAATCCCTTCAATTGTAACCTTTGTGTATTTATTTATTATGAAAGATTATTTGTTGTTTTCATTTGTTTATATAAAATGAACAAAACCTTCATGTATATATTGTAGGCTGGATTTTTTTTCCATTAAGGAAACGTTGTGTTTACATGTTTTATACCTTAGAACATAATGAAATTAAGCTCTTCATATAATGCTTACATGTTCTACATGAATGTCACTGAGGAAACATTTTACCAGTCTTAATCTATTAAATTGGCTGTTAAATCTGAGACACCTGCAGCCAAAAAAAAAAAAAAAAGCTGTTATAGGCATATACTTGCACCCAACAAATAATCTTGAATTAAAAAAAAAAAAATTACAATATGAGAAAACATTTGAAATAATTTCTGTAAGTAGGAATTTGAAACAGGAATTTTATTCTTCATGCTTAACACACAAATATTCCAGTAAGGTGAACTTTCAATTTAAAAACAACAGTATTTCACATTAGCAGTGCATCTTCAAAATTTTATTTAAAAACTGCATTGTACTTTTCATACAAGAGATTTTCTCTTTAAGAAGAGTAGAACACCCAAACGTGCAAAGGCTTAAGAAACTGAGTCATTTTAGTCATGTAAGTAATCCCATTCTTTGCTAAGAGTGATCAGGTTTCTATTCTTGGTTCTATCATAGACTTTCCTGAGTGACCTAAGGCAAGTTACTTAAGACTGAATTATTTTAATGAGCTGTGCGGCCAGGCTGCCAGGAAGACAGGAGAAATGAAGTCACCCTGACAAAAAGGTTACTGAGATATTTCTGTTAGTGGCAGTGAGGGAAGGTTAAGCAGCTCCTGCCTAGAGTGATAGATTCTGACTTTCAGGATATGCCATCAGTTGTCAGGGTGAAATAATTTTTGGGACCAGAGGTGGTCTGGAACACAAAGCTGATTCCAGTTTAAAAACAAAAATCACGTGTGGTTGTTCAGGCAGCCCTGCAGGCCACTGTACTGGCTCCATGAAAGGACACTGGGGGAAAAGAGTGTGAGTGGCAGGAAGAGAAGTGTGTAATAGGTGCCCTGGTAACTGTGACCTGGCAACAGCTTCTAGGTGCAGTGGAAGAGTAGCTGTTCATTGCTTTGTCTCCTGCTCACAGCTAATCGTGGTCTGCTGGTCTAGATTGCCAAAAACATGACTACACACACACATGCATTCTTTACCCATGCTGATATCCCAGCCAGAGAATTTGATTTTACAAACAATGATGATAAGGCAGCTTCAGTTTTCAGTAGGATTTGTAGCTCAAGTTCCCATCTGTAGACAATTTAGGAATTGTTAACCTGACTTTAAACCAAAACTGGCCTGACTTTGTTACTTTTTAACTCCAGTCAGCTAATTCAAATTCAGAATACACTTCTGGGTTTTTTTTAGAGCAGATGATCTACAGTTCTTTGTGAATGTATATGGAGTAAAGGGAGATGGCTTTTTGTTGCCCATCTTCCTAGTCTGGCTTGCATCTGCACATTGTGATTAATAGCAGAGCCTGTACTTATTTGCTATGCATTTTAGGCCCTGGTTCCTATTTCTTATCAGCAAAGCTACCTTAAGAAATTCTTACTCCTTGCAGGAATTTCTGTTGCAGTTTTGTACCACTATCTGAACTGTATTTTTTAACTAAAGTCATTTGCCTAATCCACTTTCTGTATGGTTATGTGGGTGGATACACACTTACAACTTGCTAATTGTCATTCATATCTAAGATGATATCAAACTATTGTGTGAGGTGAGAGCTGAGACACCTTATAAATCAGTTCTCATGTCCAAAATTTTAGGCCCTGGTTCCTATTTCTTATCAGCAAAGCTACCTTAAGAAATTCTTACTCCTTGCAGGAATTTCTGTTGCAGTTTTGTACCACTATCTGAACTGTATTTTTTAACTAAAGTCATTTGCCTAATCCACTTTCTGTATGGTTATGTGGATGGATACCCACTTACAGTATGGCCTTGCTAATTGTCATTCATATCTAAGAGGATATCAAACTACTGTGTGAGGTGGGAGCTGGGACACCTTACAAATCAGTTCTCTTGTCCAAAAAGTACATGTTGAACAGAGATGCCTTCAAGTGCATGGTTTCATGGTTTGAAAGACCCATGTAAAAGTGTATACTCATTCGAGACCCCAAGAGAAGATGCAATCACAACTACAAAATATATATATTTTTTTACTGTTCTTGTTAACTTGTATAAATCTAAGGGTAACACCAGGGAAAACTTTACTAAATGACTACATACTTTGGCCTTTAAAGGAAAAATAGTGAACTCATTTGCCATTTGCAATTGTTAAGAATAATTCATGGGCATTAGTTTATGCCAAAATTAAGGCATAAACTACTTCGATTAAGTTCACTCTTCTACATGAATTATTTTATCTGAAATTTAAAAGTTACATTTCTTTATTGGTAATATTATGCAAAATTGATAGAGGAATGATCTCAAATTGAAGACACATTTGGATGTAAGACATCTTTCAAGTGTAACTAGTGTACAACTCAAATGGAAGAGTTCAGGGAAAATTATAGCCAGAAAAAACAAAATGAAAAGTGGAGTAAACAGAAAATAAGGGGTATAGTTACAAAGCTGTTTTGAAGGAGAAATTCACAACAGGCAGTCTCTTCTTAGTTTTAAAAGAGATAATTTTATCTGCAGTATTTCCTTTTTCATCAAGAATGCTATTTGTGGCTATTGGAATCCTTACAGCACAGAATGATGTATTTGGGGTAACTTTTTGTTTTCCTGGAAACTGGGCTCTGGTCATTTTGGTCATCTGATTCATAGTATAGTGCCATGGACAGTTGTACTGCCACAGGAAGAGAGGACTAGAAATTCTTGCAGGCAGAAAAGAGCAGCTCACAGAGTTACTGGGGGATGAAGTTTCTGTCTGAATTTGTTACAAAGGCAAATGGCACCTTTGAACCACTTGCAAGAATTAAGCACTGGAATTTTACATCAAACAAATTTATCTTGAGTGGCTATATTTTACTCCTCTTGTAAGTATGCTACTTGATATGCCAACATTTAGTTTTATTTTTCCCTATTGTTAAAATGCACTTTTAATATCAATCTCAGAATAAGCAATTGCTTCTTTGCATATTTCCCTAGTTAAGAACATTTTCTAAGAAGGCTTTGGTTCTTCTGTGGCCTATCCATTCAAAATCCAAGTGAAGTCAAGGGGATGCTATTGAGCCATGTTTAATACCCACAAATGGCTGCATTTAATAATGATTGTTGAGTAAACTCAGCCATACTTACGTCCAAAACATGGAACATCTGTCCCATTATCTTACTGCACCATTTTAGTGACACTTCAATCAGTTGTAACTGACATTTTCCTCTGTGTTCTGTTCACGAGTTTACTGAAAGTGTTTCCCCAGCTGGGGAAAAGCCTTTTTGATCTTTATGCATCATCCTAAACTGGGAGGCACTTTTGAGTTAGAACAAAACAGCCTTGGGATAGTCTATCAAAGTGTAGGTTCAGGCCACTGGTCTAATTTTTGTTATTGTACAGTAACTAAGAAATTAAAAACATAAGAAAGTGTTTAAACCCAGATTATGATAGAACAGAATTGGCCAGTTTTGAGGAGATTATGGTAGTATTAACTTAATCATGATTTCTTGTTTTTTATCAATGAAGTGTTTTAGATGCACTCTAGATTCAATAGATGAATGGGCTCTTACACCAACTAAGGAGCTGGACAGAAGTAGCTGTAATGATTTCCATAAAAGACCATTCCCCTTTCTTGGAGTTATTTCAAGATTTTCAGTCTGTTTTTAAGAGATATTTCATACCATGTTACATTCTAGTTTACTGTATTTCCCTTTCAAATTAAATTTGAGGTAGACAGGGCGAGATGGAACGACCACGTGAACTGCTGACTCCAAGTAAAGCTCTGTGAGGGAGTGCTGTTGTGTGAGCAGTGCTTCCTCGTCCAAGCTGCTGGATCAGTGGCCAACACAGGGCATGTGGCCTCCAGCAGTCTCTGTTCACAAGGTTTAGCCATTCCTGAAGTCCTGGGTGATTCCTGTGAAGCAAGCCCTGGGCAGGGGACATTTCATGTTACAGTGACCTTACTGTGAAGCTACCCATGAACATGGGGGACTCCAGAGAAGGCTCATCCTGCTTGTGCTGGGAAAGGGTCTCTGCAGAACAACGTTCCTGGGGTGCATGAGATGGCAGCAGGAGTATCCTCAGCTGAAAGCTGCCTTGGCTGCCCACTTCTGTCTGAGGACATTAAAGCATGCCAAGGACGTGAGGGAACTGTTTGTGGATTTCCCGTGTTTAATGTTTTTCATCCAGAGCAGAGCCTATATTCAGACCTAACATTTACATAAGCAATTCCAGCACCTTCAGTGAGACTTACACCCCTCTGCAACTCCTATTTAGCCACAGAATTAGTTATAGCTACACAAATTAACAAAAGTGAGTTGCTTTGGGTATTGCCCTAGGTCTCTTTTGTGCTTCAATTTCCCATGAGGAAGGTGAGGATAACAGTATTTCTGTATCTCACAGAGTCATTGTGAGAAGACAGTGCTGTGGTATTAGTGGTTGGGGTCTTTTAGGTACACACTGGTCCCACAGATACTGATGTAGAGTTTTTATTGCTGCCTCACTGGGCATTGTCTCAGCGTATGTGTGCGTGAGCTGTCACATGCAGATTTGTTCCCTGTCCTCCTCACTAGGTAGCTGTGTCAGCATTGTAACTTTCCAGAGTTCCCATAGAAATTCTCTCTTCTGATCACTTTTTTCCTCTCATATACAAGACAGCATTTTCTCATGCCAAATGTTCTTCTACGGCGTGTAATAATTTTATAATTTCTTCAGGTCCCTAAAAATATTTCTTTTTGTCTCTAGTTGGTTATAGCACCTCAAATATTAGTCTTCACTCTCATTAATGTAGAAGTTCAATACAAGAACTCACAGTAAACTTTGTGGCTGCCCTCTGCGTGATATGGTGTTGACTTGTATTAACCTTTGTTTACAGCTCTTCAACCAGTTTTCATTCCATGTGACAGAACACGGTATTCAGCCAATTAGAATTAATTTTGCAAATAAGATTTCAAGAGATGCTGTATGGAGTAGGTTAGGTTTTGGGCTAGTCCTTTTGCACAGTCTAAAAACTATCAGTTTAAGGTACAGTCATTTTTGCTTTCTGAAATGCAGAAGGATGAACAAAAATATTAGGTAATGGAGCATAATGTATTGCTTGGGCATCATAAATGGCCTGATCATCTTGAAAGATCTGGAATTACTAGGCAAGAACATTAAATCCTGTTTTAAATGCAATTTACCAATTTAAGGTCAAATTTGGCTGCTCTGCTCAGGTAGTTTAAAATATCTTTTAAAAATTAATGATTGAGTCTCATTTGCTTCCTATTTTGCCTTGTTTTACACTGTTGTAACTCCACTGACAGCAAATGGGAGGTGCTTTTCTGTGTGTGAGAGTGAAAAAAGGAAATCATTATTTACAGTTTTTGCATGATCATGAGCTGACAAATGGATTTTGCATTGAGTGGATGTTTTCTATGCTTTTTCTGTGGTTTATTTTGGTAATTCATAGCCCATGTTATATGAAAAGGAGCAGAGATGTATGACATTTGGCAGTTGTCTAAAGAAAATATTTATTTTTTACTTTCTATTTTACATTTGTTTAATCACTGAAGTGTTGCGTATTTTTAACTATTATTTGTATTATCCTGGTTTAGTATTTTACCAAGGGAACAATTGACTTTTCTAGCTTGAGTATATTAAAAGCTTAGTCAGGTGTATGTTATATCTGGTCCCCTTCCAGCTTTAAAAATGCATAAATTCTCTTTTTAATGTTCTAGGGAAAAGCAATGGTATTTGCTCCACTCAGAGGGAAGACTTTAAACCAGTTTTGCAATCTAGCTGAAAAAGCTGGTTTCTCTATCCAAAGACATGAAAATTATGATGAACACATTTCGAACTTCCACTCCAAGGTTAGTTTTCTGCTTGTGTTAGATAACACTTTAATCCGCATTGCATTTTGAAGAGATCATGGTCCTTTTGGCAGGTAACCTAAATGTTTGATTAAAGTACTCCTTAGGTGTGCTGTTTCTGAACAGCTATTTTTGTATCTGATTATTTCGTGTGGTAGAACCATCCTTTATCTCTGCACGTCTAGAAGAGTTTTGCAGAAGCATCTCCTGTTTACTCTTTTCATTCATAGAAATCTAATTTATGAGAGTCTTTTCTTGTCGTTAGCTGCCTATAAACACACAGCACAGTAGCATTTACATTTTAATAAAAAGTTTGCAACTTTTAAGTAGGTTAAATACTGAAGTGGACTGAAATAAATAGGAGGTGAATGTCTAATTGTATCATATCGTACCTTAAATCCTTATCTCTGGCTGCTTTATGGCTGGGTCAGTTGGCAGCTTCAAACTGCTAAATCTCATACAGAATTTCACAGTTGTGGGGTTATATGTCAGATCGAGGCGCTACAAGATTTAGGTCAAAAGCACTTATCTGAGCGTGATTTTTAAGCTTGCTTACATAAAGCTACTGTTATCAGTCTTCTTTTTTATTATTTATAAGTACAGAGTAATACTGGACATGAAGAAGAAGGTGCTTCACAGGAAACTTTTTAGGAATTTCTTATTTCCCTGTGTAGAAGTGCTTATCAAAATCATATTTATTACTTGCAATTCTGAGATCTCGATTTCATAACATAAAGAAATCCACTGTTGTAGGTCCATATGACCTTAGACATAGCCTCTTGCAATTTTCTAAGAATTGCTCTTGGAAAATATAGACATGTTGAGAATTGAAGTGAAATGCTTTTTTCTTTTTCCTATTAGCACCAGCATAAGATAGAAATCAGATTATGGTAAAAAAAAAAAAAAGTATGTGATGTTGTAAGGAAAAGAATATATTTTGGTTTGTAATTTTATATTTAATAAAGACTCCCATTAAAGATATTTAGGCATGTGTACATAAAGTCAC